TAATAAAGGTATAAGAGAATTTGGTCGAGTGTATTTTAGTGCTTAACATAAAATTTTTCCAAAAATAAATATTGCAAAATTTCAAGCATATATTTTAAAATTTTTAAAATTTTAAATTTTGTATTTTTTTCTGAATTTGCTTTTTTATGTGATACCCATATTGTTATTCTACATTGCACTGACTTTTTTATATATTTTTTTTTTAATTAATTCGAGCGTTTATTTTTCATACAGGAATAACACGTAAGGAAATGAGTTCTTCCCTTTTGAGGTCAATATAATTAACTAGGATCAATTAAAATGCTCTGAACTATGAATACGTTGCTTATACGCAATTAAAGTCGTATGTAAGACTCAGACGAAGAAAGCCAAAAATTTAAAAAGGCAACCATACGTTCGGCAAAAAAAAATTTTCGAAATTGCCTGGCAAAAAATTTTATACTCAGAGTCCTAAACGGCGATTTTTTTTTGGTGCGGTTTATACATATGTACGTATATATGTACATCTATACGTCATAGAGTTTAAGCTTCAGCCCTTTTAAGTAAACTTGAAGTGCAAATAAAGCAATTTGGAAATTACGGAAATAAAAACATAAAGAAATGGATATTTCAGAAAATATAGTAATAATATTAAGGGTATAATTCGAGTTATAAACGAGTTATAGGTATTTCGCATCAAGCTCTCAATTCGTACAAACTTCTGTGTTTCCTTTTTAATATTGCACTTCTTTACAGGCGGCTATTTTTATTTTTTATTATTTTATTTATTTTGATGCGCAACTTATATTTTGTTTTGCGACAGAGAAGCTTGTTAAAGAATGCATAAATTTTCGCGTACTCTAAGTAATATGAAGCATCATAAAAAATGAGTCTTTTTTGCTATTAAAAAAAAGCTTAATAAAAAAAGAAAGTATAATTAAGGACAAAACTTTATTAAAAGTGATACATACATATGCGTGCGTTCTACTTACGTGTACGTGTATTTATATAAAGAATTTTTCGAATTTCGTCTGCTTTAAAATAGAGACAATATGTATACATATATACATACATACATACACACATATGTGCATATCACATGTGTATTTATTTAAAAAAAACTATATTTTATGCAGTAATATAGCTACATACATAATATGTATGTACGTCTATGTATAATATTAAAAAAATATATATACATATGTATGTATAATCAGCTTCAGTGTAACGTACGGCTTCATAACCATCTAACACTATTTAACACAAAAATATTATGAATGGAAGGTGACACATTACACTTGGAAAAAGTATTTAAATTGGAAATCTAATATATGTATTTATAATATACTTAATTGATGGCGCTAGAATTTTAATGAAATAAGTCATTTTAAGGACTGGTCCATCTTGTCTGAACGTATTGTGGGGTTCCAAAATCTTTCTCTACTGCATTTCCGATTCATATTGTAGCAAATCAAATTACATGGCTATGTCGATTTTATTGGTTATATTGATTTTGAAAAAACCTAAGCGCAAAATAACCTAAGGAAAATTTTTTTCCAAAATTTTCTTTTTAATGCGGAAATGCTGCTAAATGCTTTAAAAGCATTTGTGCATCAAAAAGAAAATTGTGAAAGAATGGCGCTTACGTTATTTTCGCTGTTTGCGCTCGAAAATATTCTCTCTTTTATAAATGGAAGTGAAGTCATAATCACGGCATATTTAATAAGGTAGAAGTGACAACTAGCTGTAAACAGACAAATTAACCCTTTGAGTTGCGAGTGCTATGTTTGCTACAAATTAGCATCAATCGAAACGCATCATGGTGAAATTATACCAGGTGCAGTAATAAGAGCGAGATGAAAGATTTGACACTTATCTTATTTGAAAATTTGCCTTTAAAAATTTTTGTATAAGATAGCCGAATGTCAGGAAAATAAAGCGAGAAAGCTGTTTTATTACTTCACCTGTCACACAATTCAAAATGTTATCTCACAGCACGCAATTGAATTTTTAATGAAAAATAGAAAAGGCCAACTTGAAAAGGGTTAAAAGTTATTCATCATTTGACATTATAGTCGGTGTTCAAAAGAGAGAAATGTCAAAATCACTTCTACCTTATTTAATATACCTTGGTCGTAATCATCTAAGATTTTTCTCTTTCAAAGTTCTTTGAATTTTTTCATGTATTGCTGTTGGATACAGTATTTTTCAAACATGGCTTTATATTTACAAAGTTGTTCGAAAGCCGGTGCATATCCGATATTGAATTTTTCTAGAAAAGCAGAGAGAAAAAGAAAATATTTCTTGCCATGGGTTATGGCAAAAAGTCCATGCAGTAGCAAAGAACTTTTACTTCAACTTTCGCCAATTTCCCGATAAGTCAAAATCGATTAATATTAGTTTCCTTGGTGTTAGTAATAAATTAACAGAGTACTCATATCTAAAAAGAGCAAAAAAAAACAAAACCTATTGCACGTATGTATTTATGCATACCGTCACCTGAAATGCAAAAAGACGTAACAACATCGTAACTGAAAAGGAAAAAGTCGCGACTAAAATTTTTTTTATTTTTTTCATTAAATGATGTGGGAATTTGTAATTCCATGAAATCCCTCATATGAATCAAAAACTGAATTTTGAATTTTTTATCAGTTATGAATTTTAGAATTTCAGCGACGATGTTTGTTACGTCTTTTTTGCATTTCAGGTGACGATATGTATGTTTATTCATTTATGTAATAGTATACTATAAGTACGCATAAAAAACGTTATATGTACACAGCGCTGTAGCAGCATTCACGCCTCTATAATCGAAAGTTTTGCGGGAGTTCATAGTAATTATATGTATGTTTGTATGTACGTAAATATACACAATAAATTTACTTGCATACCCGTATGTACGCATATATTTAGTATTAATGAAGATGAATAAAATTCACATATATGTAACTGCATACTGACATATACATACATACGTATAAACAAAAATATAACAAAATAGTTTTATTTAAATTGGGAAACAACATTTTAGAAAGTTGTGACTAATGTTTTTAAATGTTTCTTATTTTTTATGAAAATATATCCTACTAACTAACAAAACCATGTAAAGAAAAATGTTCAGCTTTGTAGAACTCTTACAAAAATTCGACGAATTTTAATGAATGTTCATCAACATTTTAAACTTTTTAATCAGTTTATTTAGATTTTTTTGTATCCCATTAAATTTTAGTATAATAAAGTAGAAGTTTGAAATAGCTGGGACTTACCGTTGATTTTTGGCAATTTTTCGTTCGCGCAATTTCTTCCATAGAAAGTATGTTCGACAATTTTGTTGTAAATATGGAAAAAAATTAGCAATACCTTTCACAAAAAAAATTTACCAAAAATCAACGGTAAGTCCTAGCTACTTAAAATTTTGGCAATAAAATTAAATGTGCTATAAAACTATATAACAATAAAATTGGATGTGCTATATACTTGATTTGCATGGGTTTTGTAAGAAAAAATAAAAAAAAATAATAAACATTAATTAAAAAAATAATAAACATTAAATAGCCGAAAGTGGAAAGCCAAAAATTGCTAAAATGTCTCCTCCCTATTTATATTTTCGCCACTGTATCTACAGCTTATATTTTTCATATCCATGAATTTGTTTAAGGGAATTAGTATTATTTTTTACAGTTTCACTAAATTCAAGTTAGAATCGTTTCATTAAAAAAAAATTAACAAATAATTCTAAAAACCTTAAAAAACTGCAATATAGCGAAAGTAGCAGTTTGACAAAATAAAACAAAACCAAAGATCATAGAAAATAAGGTAGCTGGCTATGTTTATGGCTAGCTTATATTCTATGTTATTTGTAGGAAAAATGGTTTTTGGGGCAGGGAACAGGGAGACTTTTGTCAAATTAATAAAGAAAAAACTGAAAATCGGGATTTAATCGGTACAAATATGACCGACTTGAAAAAAATATTCAGCGTGACAATTTTCTCAAAATCTCTGTCCCTATGGACAGACCCAAATTGAAGTTGCGCACTTAGTCCCTTTAGCTGAGCGAGACAACAACTTGATTGATGAGCGACCCGATCCGAGCGGGGTTTAGTAGCCGCTACAACAACAACATTAGCAACATGTACTGGGCTGTCTTAGTCACTCTACCGCTAACCAGTACTTACTGCGTTCTGAGTTTACCCACGCGTTAGTTGTAAGTGTCGAAGAATACCAACTGAATCCGCAAAGTTTTTCTGACCTCACAATGACAGACATTGGGCTGTCATTCGCTAGTACGTCGGCGACTTCGTTTCTTTCTATCCCGTTGTGACTTGAAACCCAGCACAGTGTTATCTACCGTGCTTCTCGTTGTCAAGAGTTGATGAGTGTTTCGTTCTCCAACTTTGTCCAGTTTGTAAGGGAAGATCTATTTGCCTAGACCTTTCCGTCTATGACTAACCTCTTTAGCTTATTTTTCTGAACTGCCACTTAATTTCAGATCGACGATGTCGATGTAAACTGCCAAAGTTATTAAAGAAACCATTATGAATTTTGCGAATGAAAAATGATTCATTTCGGTACTTTTTCGCCTTAGTAAACGTTTTAAGGCTAAAATTGTCCAAATACTTTGATATAATTTTTATTGTACTTCCTTCTGGAACTCCATTGATTGAAATAAATGCAAGAAGAATGCTTTAGCGTTTTTTCTTTGTGAGATCTGCTCATATGCAGTGGAGTCATCCCAGAATACGGTCAAGTTTGGAGAAAAGAAAAAATGACTATTAAGTGAAACAGTAAGGACGAGTCAGCGAGTATTCTCTTCCATTCCATTCCTATTTGATATTGATTTTGTAGTTATATTTAGTTACGCAATTAGAAACAAGACTTGCGAACGCAATATTTTGTATGAAGTAAGGAAGAAAGGAAAGCATTTTAAAAATATTTATCAAATTTAGTGTTGTCAATACTTTTATTAGCTTGTATTTACTGCTTTTCCATTAAATCTATATGCATTTGAAATATTTAATATTTTCCATTTTACACAGCAACAGGTATTTGATTTTGTTTACATACATATTTGGCGTTATGTTAGGTATTGGTAATCATAATGAATACAAAGTCATAAATACACATGAGTAATTAAATATCATACACAAATCAGTTGATAGTGTGTCGTAAACGTAAAGGTAGTATGTAGCTCTTTATGGGTTATGTTTTATTTGTAATAATTAGTAACTAAATCACATTCACAAAAATACAAACAATTTCTATAGGTACATGTACATACATAAATGACAAACAAAAACTTTGACTTTCTGATTATGTATCTCGAATTCTGGGCACTTTGAAATGAAGGTCCTTAATACTTCCGCATAACATATATATGTATATGTAATTACATGTTCGAATTTGTTTCTCACCATACATTTCTAGCACCCAAAAAGTATGCGACAATTAGTCTCTCTAAATTTTCATTACACCCGCAAAAATGATGCGATTTCGAGATACATGACAGGGGCATCGATTTCACAATTTCACTTTCACAACCTTTCTCCAAAATCCCCTCTTACTTATGCCTTCGCTTAGGTACATACTTTAAATCAAAAATATCAGTTCTTCATGCTTTGTATACTGTTGACCATTGATATCCGCCGACATATGGTATTCCTGTGGCGATGACGGTGAAGTGGCCGGACTTAAACGCAACAACAAATCGGCCGACGAACTGCGTCTCATAACACCACCACTTCCGACTCGCTGATGCTGGTGCTGCTTACAGCTGGTTGAGTTGGTGAAGGATTTGCTACGCACATGACGACGGGCATGACTACGTCGGGCATGTATACGATTGCTTACCGCACCAAAACACGATATTTCATGCTCACAATCGCTATCCATTTCGTTGTGCAACAAATGTTGTCGCAAATTACCCGAAATAGGTGAACGATTTTGGTGAGTTTGTTGATTATGGGAAGTCGATGCCACGCCCACATCCGTGCAGTTAGCTGTATTGTCATCGTAAAGATGCAGAATTGCGCTGCGTTGCTGCTGACTCGTTATCGGCTGATTGAATTGCTGCTGCTGTTGGAGTCGACGTGCATTGATGCAGTGCGCTGAAGGATCGCGTGATAATTCTGAACCAAAATTGCTGGCGTTGCTGAGGAAAAGTTGGCTAGAAAGAGTTTAAAAAACTTTAGATGAATATAGCGCGTGTGGTAGTTTGTGTTTTACAACTAAATATGAGATCAATCAGAGGATAAACTACTCAATATTTCACTGCAACCACTGTCCACATTTACATTTATGTACATCGAACCCATTTATTCTCCACTTACCGTTCGTGTGGCAGGTTGGTACCATAGCTTAGCACATCTGGGTAATAGGCATCAATTGGGAATGACTCTGGCACTGAGAATGTGTGTCGCAAACGTTGAACTTTGTAGTTGTGTGTACCGTTACTAACAACAATCCAGGAGCGTTTCAAATGGGTTTGTTCGCTGTAATTAGTTGTGCTCCTGGGGCGCGATGAAACATTTGAATCTGGAATAATAAATAATAATTATGGTCTGATTAGGCATTCTTCGATTGATCGTGTGAAAGCTTGGGCCGATTTTATAGCATAGGGTATTGTTCTGGAGGACAGCCTTATGAAAGGAAACTTTTCTCAAAAGAATAGGGACCTGATTTATACACGCTCCAACAGGCAGGATAATTGTGAACTAAAACGCTGGGTTTTAACTCTTAGAAGGGGGGACGCTGGTCTTCTAGTTGGGTTACAAACGGGAGATGTAGAAGGAATGTGAAGACTGTGCAGCTTAGGTACTCGGCTGTAGTTAATGCTCTCTACAAAAGCACGCAGTGGCTATTTATCCTAGTCTGATCCCAGTTGAGCTGCATGTTCACATTTTAGAGATTTCGCGATGGTTTACAAACAACCAGATTTTTCACCTTCTCTTCAATCAAGATTTCCTGTAGTTACCGTTCAAAGTATTTGTAAAATCTGGTAACAAAATGCAGAATCTAATTAATGTCTAAGTGAGGCCCTCGGGTCTGCCGGAATAACCTAAGTTCATTGCGTCATAAATCTATTCAATGGAAATACATAAATACAAATTATACACAAATCTTACTATTTTCGCTAAGAGCCATTGTTGTTTGTGGTATGCCTAGAGTGAGCGATATATTGAGTGAGTCATCTCGAAATTCGGCACTTCGTTCCTCAAGTTGACTGGGCGTTCCGGTACTGCAAAGCGAAGAAAAAAAAATTAATAAAAATGGTTCAGGAATACAGCACTAAGCCCAGTGTCACTTACGAGCTCGTCCCGGTCTCCGGCTGTTCGCCAACGGTTGGGGATAATTCACACCCAATGGGAAGCGATGTCGGGCCCGACTGAATCCCCATGGATTGACAGCAGCAGCATCCCTGCGCAGGTGTGCCCGATTCTGACGCGCCTGCAGCGCCTGTAAACGTGATTCTTAGATTTAATAAATAAAAAAATATTAGCTTCTGAAGAGCTTGTTGGATATGATATGAGTAAAGGTAGGAGAAGGATGTAAGAGGGACTGATAAATAACGGATTTAAGCTACGAGTACTAAATACAAATGTTAGAATGAAAGAACGAAGCATTACCACAAGCTGCGGTAGCCATTAGCACACGATTAGCCAGTTCATTGCGTATTTCTGCATCGGGCAATTGTGCGCCGCCGACACCATTTGTAATAGCCACAGTGCCGTTAAGCGCAATGGCTGCGGCAGCCGCTGATGTGGTCGGACGATCGCAGGTATGTGTGTGCGGTAGAATGCAGGCGGCGTGCCCACAACCGTGCTCGGGATGGTGATGATGGCGACGCCGTTGACGTTGGCGTGCATCACGTATCTCCTGTTCCATGCCAACCTTGATTACTTCCTCATAGTCGGGTGGTGCTTCATAGCTGGGCGGTTCGTCGGGCGTCATTTCCTCTTGGCGGTCTGGTGAGGGAAAAAGTAACTTCTTACTTACGAATTAAGCGGAAGAATTGGTATTTAGAAAATTACATACTTAGCGGATGTAGTATTTTGTTTCTACATTCCTAGTATTTTGGAACGAATTTCCGTCATTCCTTGGGCCAGGTTCAACGCCGAAACTGGTTTGTCCCAAACCAAGCTTGACAATAGATAACGCAAATTCGTTCCAAAATACAGCATCTCCGCTTATAGATACAACAGGAGCTCATGAAATCTATTTACCTAGCAGCTCACTAATAGTTTGCAGATGACTTTGCAGTTCGCGTTGATGGCGTG